ATAATGATTAATTCCCTTACAACTAAGTAAAATTATTACAGTAGTGTTGGAGAAATCAAAGTATAGCAAAAGTAGTAAGAGTGGAGGGAAATAAGAAATGAAGGTTGTAAGTGTGTGATGTTTGGAATACCTCTTTTTAAGAGTGAAAAACTTGAGGGTGTCAAACTACTCTGTAAAAGGTACTGGAAGAATGGCAAGAGAAGTTGAGAAAATTAAGACAGAAACCAGTTTGTTTGAGTTTGAAACAAAGGTTATCCCAAAGGAATTATATTATAGATTTATGAGATACGGCATAAGAGAACACACGTCTAATCAGGAATTTGCACATGTTGTTGAATATACAATGGAAAGAGAAGATATGTTAGATGTGGTGAGGATCATGAATATGGAAAATGTGCAGAGAGAGTGAAGCCAAAGTACAGTGTTCCATTCACATTGGCAGAATGCAAGTGGATAACCATTCCCAAAACTAAACATCTGACACAGAATTCCTGCCATATATAACACAAGTACAGTTGATTTTTTAATTTTTTTTGTCTGTGCCATGTAGAGAACAAAATAAAATTGTGTTAAAAAAGTTCAACAAACAATAAACTTGTTCATTCTGTCTTTTTTTTCATCTTTTATTGCAAAACGTCTCATTGAAAATGGCTTAAACAGTTCTTGATAGTGCTTTATCAGATACTGTATGTGGTTCCAAATCGAAATTAAGATCAATATATTGGTTTTATAATACTTAGAACAACAAATTGAAACATACGAAGAAAAAAAAGTTACTTTAACAATAGTGATGACATTTGCACAGGATTTGAGTGTGATCACCAGTTGTTACCAGGAATATAATAACTTACTGGAACTGACTATCGCCCAAAGTTCATTTTCACTGTTTATTGTATTTTTAATGTTTGTGTGTTAAAGTCATGTAATTAAACTGTATATTAAAAACTTGTTCAAGCTGCCTCCGAACAATTATAAAAAATAAATAAATTTTTGTATGTAACAAAATGAACCACATTTTAAACATTTAAATGTTTTTAGTTGGATAAAATTTTGGGAAAGAATGCAGGGATCATAGGTTTAAAAAAAGATATATATAGAATAATGTATAACTCCTTATACATTATATAAAACTCAATTTGAATACAATAAAATCACAAAAACCGTCAGCACTCCTGTTTTCAATAGCCACTTCATGGTACACACAGCATGCTCAAGCTAATGAATAGTAAATTGCTAAAGTTAATAGTTTTATTTGGGAAGATGATGTGGGCCAAGTTGACAATGAAAATATTAGATCATTTTTGAAATGTTAGAGTGATTATCATCAAACTTCTGGGTAATTTTTCAGACCTGTATGTGGAAAAAATCTTGGGTAAAGTGCATGTCAGACTCATAAACTAATCAAAAGTTGCTTTGAAGTAAATAATTGTTTTGGCATATAAAACATTACTTCTACTACTTCAACTACTTAAAAAAAATCATGTGACTCATTCACTTGGCTATCATAAATCTCTTTTATATTTTACTCCAATGATGAAGCAGTACACCTATATTAGCACCTTTAACAGAACAATTTTACATGGCATATTGTTATATCTCAAGCTATTACTGTAAAGCATACCACATTCCTTCTGTTGATTATGTAAATGAATTAAGCACTTTAAAGTTAAAAATATTGATGCCATGGGCCTTAGTCAGGGTAGAAGACACATGTAATTTTACATGAATGAAGACTGTGAGGGCAGGGGTGTCACTAAGGTTTCTGGGCAGGTCCTGCAGCCAGCATTCTGTAGATGCAAAAACTGCTCATTGGGATCTACTGTTAAACCGTTCTAGTTTAACCTGGTTAATGCTCTCACAAAGATGTCTACATGGTAAGTGTCCAACATTGTAGCATCACATTCCGTTAACAAATAAGTAATTACAATTTTTGACATTTCAGAGCTATTGCAGGCAAAAAATCATGTGTGAATTTATTGGTAGGAATTTTATTTTATTATAAATTGCACCCAGTTGTGACAACATGTTCCTTCTAGCTTTCTTGAGCTTTGGAAATGACTGGTTTAATGAGTTGGTTTAATCTGTTTTGTTCTTCACACTGCAATTGGTCAGTTTGTTTCTACTTTAAAGGGATAGTTTAAAAAAAATCTGTCTTCATTTGTATACCTTCTAGGGGTGTGACAGTACATATATTCGTCCCGAACCGTAACGGTACGGATGTAACGGTTCGGTTCATGCTGTCAGACGACGAATACAGTCAGTGCGATCAATCCAGAACAGGAACCGTCACAACAGGAAAGAGCAGAAGAAGAGACGATCTACACACCAACCCAAAACAAGAACAGAGAGTTCAGATCATGCAAGAGCTCGAAGAACCGCCTGCTTTTATCAGCAGTGTGGGGAAGTTTCAGTTGACTGGCTATAAATCTGAACCGGTTTTTATTTTGGCTGATCTCTGAAATGCACACAAACTGCATTGAAATCAAAATGTAATTTGTGTGGAATTTTTATGAAGTCTTTAAAGAGGAGAAAATACTGTACCAGGCAGATCACGATGCTCGAAATATAGGAAGACAAATATGTGGGGGGTTATATGAATGCATCTCTGAGAGGAACTGACAGTCTTCAGAAATGGCATTTTCTTGTCCTCATACCTCCATATAATGCATATTAAAGTAGTGTTTATAAGCGCAGCGCTGCTTTGTTTACAGAGCTTACCAAGGAATCTCTATATCGCTGCTGTTCCATAGGCACCACCTGCTGTCAGAAAATAAATTAGCGTTTTCATTCAGTCCGTCTGTTGTTTTTGTTTTGTGCAGGTGTCTTATGTAGCATAATTTCACAAGTCTAAAGTCAGATCATTCTGTTTTTGCTTGAAATTATACAATCTAATTCAAATAAAAACAACTGTTCATGCTACATGTGTGTGTAGCACTTCTGTCTGTTCAAAATAAATGAAAAAATGAATTTCCTGCTGTACCGAACTCGTATCGAACCGTGACCCTGAAACCGAGGTATGTACCGAACCATGACTTCTGTGAACCATTACACCCCTAATGCCTTCACATTTTTCCAAACCCAAGACTTCTGTTTGTCTGTGGAACACAAATGAAGATGGTAATATTCTCTCATCATTTTTGTCAAACGTACAGTGCTTGAATCTCGATTAACCTCAATGGATTTCCATATTGTCCCATTAAATAAAATCTTTAAAAACATATTAATGTTATACTGCAATAAAGAAAAAAAGTTTAATTGCATATTAATGTTATAGTACAATGGCAAAAAGAACCACACAAAAACTGTTAAAAGTAGACAGGTGTTTCACTGAAAGAAAAAAAAAGCATCCAGAGAAATATGATTTAATCTGGTGAAATCAGAAGTCGTTAATGTATCAGACTGTTCAGTCTCAGTGCAGCTAGTCCATGAATCCACCAGAAATTTCTACACCTGGAACTCAAACATGTCTGCATGCTTCTTGGCCAGTTTGGCCACCTCATCACGGATGGCTTTGACTAGGGCTGAAGTGGAAAGGCTGCTGAGGGGGGTGTCTGGGCTGACTGGATCTCTGGGCTCTGCTAGACTCTGCTGGGACACTGCAGTGGAGGAAGAGGGAGGATTATCTGGACCACCCTGAATGGCCTGCCGGTGGTGCCACAGGAGAGGGCTGCCCTGAGGATAATGAGGGTGAGGAAAGGCCTCTGCGTAGCCTGGTAGGGGCATCTGAAAGAGAAAACAGGTAGCATTCAACATGGCCTGTGCTAAAACCATTCAGCTAGGGTGTATTGTTATTTTTAGTGAGTCTTGATCTGTGCTGCAGTTGACCAAATTCTATAGTTAAAAAAGGAACCAATAGACAAATGCACAAGGACGACAATCACGATAAGGAAACGAAAAGCTGAAGGATCTACTTCAAAGTAATATTAGTGACACTCCATTCAAACAAGTTTGAATTGTGTGATTTGATCATTTTCATTAAACTACGAATTATGAAATCATAAACACTTTGAACAAGGGTCACCTTGTCACCAGGGTTGGGCATAATTCAGAATTTTAGATTTTACAAATTTTTGAGTATAATTTGGAATTAAATTTTCCACCCGACAAGATGACACATTTACTAAATTGCTTTCAAACATATACAACAGTCACACAACACTCATTAGACCAACACATTAGTCCAACTTATTGCAACAAAACATAATTAATTAAATTATTAATGTTGACTAATTAAGCCTATTTATTTCCAGATATGTAGAATGTATTTTCATAATAAATCAGTAGATTTACTTTTGCATTTAGTTCAAAGAAATATCAAATTATTTGACTCTGCCATCAAAACCAGTTTTAATTTGGCATGTGGCAATGCAAAATGCCCATCAAATTGTCTTCAGATTCATTTATAAAAATAAAGACATTAAATAAAAAAAAAAGAAATTCATTAGATATAATTACATTCTGATTGAAAATCTTAGAGAAAAAAAGAGGAAAGTTCTTAACATAATTTCTAAGAAATTTGTAAGAAAATTCTTAGAAAAATTCTTAGAAATATAAATGAAATGCAATTGACACTTTTTTAAATACTTATATATATTTGTCTCATAAAGACGAAGTCTAAAATAAATAAATAAATAAAACTTCACGCTTAATTTTTATCTGGTTGTCACCCCCATGTTTAAGTAGCATGTGTTTTTTTTCCCTTGTGGTTATAAAAGTTATAAAAGGTTATATAGATTACTAAAGTAAAAAAAATATGTTATTCTTAATAATGTTTTGTAAATTGTAGCATAAAAGCAATATCAGAATGAACATGGCTATATCAATAGAATATATTAATTTTTATTGAATTTCAATTTTTTAATCTACTTAAATTTTTTTATCTTGTTTCCTTTCCTTAATTCAAAACCTGGAATTGTAAAGGTATTTGCAATTTGATTCTGAATTGCACTCAACCCTGCTTGTTACAGAGGGAAAAAAAGAAAGAAAAAGAAAAGTGTTCACTTGAAGAAATGTGCTCATCTACCCTGGGAATTTGTTGTTTCCACTCAACGTCAGCGATAAATGCAGTTCAGCAAATGGTTTCTAAATGACACTGGTTCTGCAAAAAGATACCGTGTGAATGCAGGCACACACAAGCAGGGATAAGAAGGACAATCCAAAAAGATGAGTCTTGCGCCCAAGGGCAGGTCACATGATCTGACAGAATGCCTCCTAAATTCAGAACAATGTATAGAGGCACATGTGACAGACCAGTTCTGCTTCCCTTGGTTGCAGTCCATGAGGTTTACGCACGCCACATTAAATTGTATTAATGGTGCATGCACTGTAACATTGGGGTCTTGGAATGCAACCCAGTTTGTGAAGCAGAATTGCACACATGATAAAGGACTGTGTGATAACTGCATTCTTACAGATTCAGTCCACTGAGGAGGCACATCCTCGGGTTCAGGGGGGTAAGACATCCAGGATGGGCTGTGGTAGGAGGAGGGTGGTGTAGAGATGAAATATCCCGTGTATCCTGGACGACTGGCTGGGATGGCCTGTGGTGCAGGCACACACAAGCAGGGATAAGAAGGACAATCCAAAAAGATGAGTCTTGCGCCCAAGGGCAGGTCACATGATCTGACAGAATGCCTCCTAAATTCAGAACAATGTATAGAGGCACATGTGACAGACCAGTTCTGCTTCCCTTGGTTGCAGTCCATGAGGTTTACGCACGCCACATTAAATTGTATTAATGGTGCATGCACTGTAACATTGGGGTCTTGGAATGCAACCCAGTTTGTGAAGCAGAATTGCACACATGATAAAGGACTGTGTGATAACTGCATTCTTACAGATTCAGTCCACTGAGGAGGCACATCCTCGGGTTCAGGGGGGTAAGACATCCAGGATGGGCTGTGGTAGGAGGAGGGTGGTGTAGAGATGAAATATCCCGTGTATCCTGGACGACTGGCTGGGATGGCGTACACTGCTGTCATGGGATTTCCTGTGGGACAATAAAGAATAATAGTATTATATTTCTAAATGATATAGTTAAGCGATATCACATGAGCAAGCATGGCATTGCTGTGAACTGACCACTGCCCAGAATGAAGGTTGTCAAAAGCTTTGGGAGTCTGCTGTCCATGACAGGCCTAAACCAGCCAATGTACACATATAAAAACACTTATAAAAATATTGTCTAGTTGTCATTATCAAAAAAAATCACAGAAAATATAGAGAAATTATGTTTTGTTCAATATCGCACACCCCTAGAGTTTAGGGTACATTTGGAACATATTCAGGTATTTGAATATTCATGCTATTATCAGAAATAATACTGAGATTAAGTCATTTTTACATATTCTGAAAAAAAATGTGAGCAGTGCTTGCCTGTGCCAAACTCACGGCCACGATGCTAGTGTGTAACTGGTTGTTGCCAGAGTGTTGCTAAGGTGTTCTAAGTAGTTGCTATGTCATCAAAATAGGCCATTCAAAAATCTCTGAAGTCCTTCTTTGAGTGATAGTATCAAAGATATTTTTACCTGTTTTATCGTCAGATCGTTTAAAAAAGTAGCAGCCAAACTCTCCTCAACAAGTTTCACAATTTGAAGTATCCTTCATGTGCCATCAATGGTCCAGGATGAGTTATGCATCAAAGGAAACCGACACTTCCCTAACTTTAAATAACAATAATGCATAACTAATGCACTATAATTCGTAGGAAACATACACACACATACACACACAAACAAACTAGTGCACAAATACACATATAAGTCGTGGCCTAATGGTTAGAGAGTCGGACTCATAACCCAAAGGTCGTGGGTTCGAGTCTCGTACCGGCAGGGATTGTAGGTGGGGGGAGTGAATGTACAGCGCTCTCTCCCACCTTCAATACCACGACTGAGGTGCCCTTGAGCAAGGCACCGAATCCCTAACTGCTCCCCGGCCGCCACAGCATAAACTGCTCCGGGTGTGTGTTCACGGTTTGTGTGTGTTCACTGCTGTGTGTGTGCACTTTGGATGGGTAAATGCAGAGCACTTATTCCGAGTATGGGTCACCATACTTGGCCACATGTCACATGTCACATATAAACCCATACAATCACACACACACTAACCTGAGTGGTTGGGAATGGGCTCAGTAGTGACAGGTGGGAGGGGCGCTCTGCTGTTTGGCCTGTGTGGGGTGCTGTCATGCTGACTCAGCACTGACGACTCAGAACAATGACCTTTCCGACCAAGATCAGAAGATGACCTGAAAAACATGGCAACAATTTCATACATGCATTGACATGGTTTCACCACCAGGTGACATTATCGATTTACTAGCAAAATCAATCTGCTGCCTTTACATAAAGAATTAGCATGACATGGCAGACTTCACCATAGTTATTTAAAATTTAAAAATACACTTCTGAATTTAGCACCTGAATATGATGAATGTTGTTCCAAACCCATATGACTTTCTGTAGAAATGCTGAACACAATGTCCTGTCTGTTCTTTCCCTTACAATGGAACTGAATGGCTACTGATGCTGTCAAGCTCCAAAAAATTAATACAAAATAAGTACAATTAACCCTATAAAGCCTATTGCATCATGTCTACAGATTTCAGTGAGATATAGATACAGAGAGAACAGTTACAACAAATGACATCAAACTTAACATGAATACAAAACTTAAAAATTAAGCTGACATTTTTTTTTCTTTTTTTAAATAATGACTTAATGATGACAAGCTATCAGAAGACTTAGAATATAGAACACAAGTTATATATACTACTTTAATGGTACTGTTTCTGTATTTTTTTTTTTACTTGACTGCTTTCTCCACATTTACTTGTCTTGTTTGGATTGTGAACATCCTTTTGTGTGGCACAGAAGACAGAGAGTCAATTGGGTTTGAAACGATAGTAAATTATGGGAAAATATTCCTTTAATAAGTGCTGAATAAACTCATGCACTGGTCACTGCCATAAAAAAAGGCAAAGTATGTGGAAATGTAATGACCGTCGCAGTGATGACTCAGGAGGAGGGCCTGTTCTTGGTGGGACAGGGGGTGGAGGAGACCCAAGAGCCATTTCAGGAAGCTGAGTGAACCTGAATGCCTTTTTGAAAAATGTACATGTTAGCATATAAAAGTTTTAAGCAAGGCAGATAGTTTCTGATATATCTGTATATAGATCAGATCTATAACTGTACTTGTTTGGCAAGGCTGCACTGGTAAGGGTCTGGTCTATAGGCTGACACCCACTGTAGGCCTCCCTGCTCTTGACTCGTGGTGCCTGGTGCACTGGTCACCACCTCTGAGTACGGAATGACTGGACCCAAGCCATAGGGTCCCAGTGGTGGATGCTGATGGTGAGAGTGATGGTGTCTGCTGGAAGTAGAGTGGCCAGCTGAAGCTAGACTAAATGCTTCTTCTAGCAGCAGATGCATCTGCTGACGAACCTCATCTATGGAAGGCTGGGAACTCAGCGTTGATGTCTCAGATTGACCTTTGATTTGTCGACCACAGCCAAAATAATGGCGGCCCGCCAGTCGGTCAATGTCAGTCTCTTCAATAATCTCTGGCTCAGTCTGCAACAGACAAAGAACAAAGAAACAGATGCACAAATATTACAAAATCTAAGTCTGAAGTGTGATAGTGTGGTATCAAATACCAACAGATAAAAAATTCTAAACCTGACTGCCTCTGTTAGAAATCTTATAATAGGCCATGGTTGGATCTTTCATCAGGACAATGATCCAAAACTAATATCAAAATCAATACAAAAATGTGTCACTGAGCACAAAATGAAGCTTCTGCCATGGTTGTCCAAGTTCACTGACCTGAACCCTATAGAAAATGAGTGGGGTGAACTGAAGAGAAGAAGCACCAACATGGAGCTAGGAATCTGAAGGATCTGGAGAGATTCTGTCTCTGAGGAATGGTCTCTGATATCTTGTCAGGTGTTCTGTTCTCCAAACTCATCAGGCATTATAGGACAAAACTCTTTTGTCCTATAATTTTGTCCTACAAAGCTGTTATCTTGGGAAAAGGACGTTGCAATAATTGGGTGCAAATACTTGTGGCCAACGTGAACTAGAGAAAAACATTTATTTTATAATGAGATTTTCCCCCCACTTTCCATTGTTTTACTTCAATGATAGGTTTGAATTTTGTGACTTTTTTTTAATGAAAGATCAAAAGGATGATCGATGCAGATATTATCTTCACAGCCACCATTGCTCATATTTACCAAGGGTGCCAATATTAGTGGAAGGCACTGTAAATGACAACATTTTAAACTGGCAATGGTTTTTCAACAATCTGCAAGTAAAAATGTCAAGATTTAAAATAAAATAAAATAAAAAAATAAAATGTATAATGATGTGACAATTTATTTTGGTAATAAGCTACACCTGCATACAGCTTGTTCCCACAACAGCCCTACCATTCTGAGATGCTTTATGAATCAGGTACTTTCCCTTCCATCCTAAATTACCATTTTCATTTTAAATCTTTTCACAACATGATCCCTGAGCTTTCATTTGAACAAGTGAATTATGTGCTGGTAAAATGAAGCGATAGAACGAGTTCTCATTATCTTTAGGATAATATATAAAGCTAATCATCAAAATCTCTTCTTCTTTGTGAGTCTCTCGTGTCTCTTTCTATCTTAGACACACAAATACTCATAAAACACAATAATAGCAGAAATAAATGGTGTACAATCTATTCTCATTCAATACAGGTTGGTTTAACAGTGTGGGAGTTTTGTTTTCTAAACTCAGCAGCTCTTCTCTATTATTCGCTTTTCTTAGGGCAAGTTCCAAAACTTTCATGTTGGTAGTAATAAAACTCCTAATAAAAATAATCCTAGAGAATTAGCTAATTATGGGACGATCTCAAATCTCCTGTTCATATAAAAATATTTTATTAAATATATATTAAAAAATCACTATTATCTTCACAACTAATTGCAAAGAAATGATATTTGTAAAGAATTTCAATTAGGATTTAGGCCCCATTGTAGTATAGAGACTGCACTTGTCAAGTTACAAATAAGTTACAATTGACCTGCTAATATCATCTGAAATAGCCACATCTCCCTTCTAGTATTGTTAGACACTAGCTGTGATGCTGTGGCATACCACCTGCTGCATCATGTTGCCATTTGTGGGCAGGCTTTAGAACGGTTTAGATCCTACCATAATCACTATCAGTTTATTTGTGTTAATGAAGACATGTCAGATCACACACAAGTTCCACAGGGATCAGCATTAGGCCCTCTGCTTTTTCATTGTATATTCTTCCCCTGGGTAACATTGTCAGAAAACATGTCATTATTCATTGCTATCCCAATGACACTCAGCTTTATACTGTATTCCTTCAAGTTAGGTTAGTGCATTAGTGAAGTTTAACAGGCATTTATCATACATAAATGGAATATTGATTCCCCAAAGAAAAGGGTTGTCAATAACAAAAGTCACAGTGAGTATTTTGTGTGGCCACTACAGTGCATCTCATCATCATGGTGTAGGATATCAGACCGAATCAGACAATCTAAGATTTGGTCAAAACATGGCTGAGGCACGAGGAGTCCAAATTCCACAGAGGTCCAAGACAACAGGATGTCATAAATCAGACCCTAGCCAGTCTGAAGCAAGGCTAACAAACTCTTTCACAGAACAGCTTTCAACATTAAAACAAAAGAACACTTATTGACAATTCCAAGGAGATTGTCAATTTTGGGGGCAAGTTATCAAGAATAATGGTCAAAAGAGATGCACAGCGTGACCGTCACTTGGAAACATGTGATAGTGATCACAAGCTCCTCGGATTGACTTTTCCCCCCACCTCACGACAGAGAACAGACTAAAATTCCTTACAGACATTTTAACCTCTCTGGTCTTCACAGAACGTATCCTTACGTCCACAGAATGCCAAAGAAACTTCATTTCCATGTGAATATGCATCTAAATGACACTAAAAGGACCTGAGCAACTAATCATTTCTATATAACTCCATATCATGTATGTAACCCACATGTGACTTATCAGGTCTTAATCATTTATTGTGAATGTATTTTGAATAACTATTGAATAGTTTAAGAATTGCTATTCATGTTTAGTATGTGTGTGTTTGAATCTTCATGCTTGAAACGTTTCTTCCAATCAATTATTTGTCAAATGTATCA